TGAAGCTGATGAAGCAATTGAGGAAGCAACTGATGATTCACTTGAAGCTAAACTGGAAGCTGAGGATTCACTTGAAGCTAAACTGGAAGCTGAGGATTCACTTGAAGCTGATGAAGCAATTGAGGAAGCAACTGATGATTCACTTGAAGCTAAACTGGAAGCTGAGGATTCACTTGAAGCTGATGAAGCAATTGATGAAGCAGCTGAAGATTCACTAGAAGCTAAACTGGAAGCTGAGGATTCACTTGAAGCTGATGAAGCAATTGATGAAGCAGCTGAGGATTCACTTGAAGCTGATGAAGCAATTGAGGAAGCAACTGATGATTCACTTGAAGCTAAACTGGAAGCTGAGGATTCACTTGAAGCTGATGAAGCAATTGAGGAAGCAACTGATGATTCACTAGAAGCCAAACTGGAAGCTGAGGATTCACTAGAATCTGATGAAGCAGCTGAAGATTCACTAGAAGCTAAACTGGAAGCTGAGGATTCACTAGAAGCTGATGAACCGATTGAGGAAGCAACTGAAGATTCGCTAGATGAGCTTATGATCGATGATGGGCCAACCTGGGACTTGCTCAAAGATGAAGTGGAGGAGGAGCTTGAAATAATGGATGGGAGCGTTGCTGAGGGTCCTTCAGAAATAGTTGTGGTATCTGAACAGTCTATAAAGGAAGCTAAACCAGAACAATCAAATTCAAGAGCATTGGAAAACACAGGACAGTCACCCAATGATACCACGCCACAAACAACTTGACTAACAGTGGATGAAACAACAGCACCAGCAGTTCCAACGTAGAAAATGTAATACTTATCACCTTCAGCTCTTTTGTAAAGACCAAATGATTCATGTAAATCACGTTTTTCTTGAGTACTAACAGTTGGTGGAATTTTGAATTGAAAAGCAACATAATCTAGCAAACAAAAGTTTGGAATGGAGAGAGCGAAAGACAAGTATGGAATGGTAACATCATATGAAACGACAAATGAACCATCTTCAAGGTTTGCATTACCTTTAACATTGGAAATCTCTAAACCGAGCTTGGAAACAGTGAAATCAGAGGCATCAATCGGTTGATCAAATTTGAAAAACCAAGTAACTGTCAAAACACGTGAACGAGTCAAAAAAGAGCCAGTTGTTTGTCCAGTAATGTCATAGGTTGCTTTATAAGATTTACCTTCAATTACCCCTGTTTGAGAGCTGAAAGCACAAGCTGAACTCAAGGTAGTTGTACGACCAATATCTGTTGTAACTGTAGCAATTCCCGATACTGAACTCCCTATTGGTGTTGGTACAACAGCTGCAACCTTTGAGGTAGTTCCAGTAGCAAATTGACCATTTGAGTTGGTAGTTGGGAAGTAACTGACAATACCAGTATAAGTTTGGCCGCCCGAAGTGAACGAAGTAGCGATTGGACTTGGAACAGTGAATGGAATGGTAGTAGCACCAGTTGCAAATTGACCGTTGGAATTAGTTGTTGGGAAATAACTAACTAGACCACTAATACTTTGACCAGCTGCGTTGGTATAAGTAGTTGTAACTGGACTTGGAACAGTAAATGGAATGGTAGTAGCACCAGTTGCAAATTGACCGTTGGAATTAGTTGTTGGGAAATAACTAACTAGACCACTAATACTTTGACCAGCTGCGTTGGTATAAGTAGTTGTAACTGGACTTGGAACAGTAAATGGAATAGTAGTAGCACCAGTT